TTATAGCCCAAACCCCCACCCACTGACGCCTACCTTCCCCACGCTTTCCTTACACGCCTTTTTGTCTGTCTGAGCTAGGGGTCTAAAACTTTTGTAATGTCTGTGTTGGAGCTTAGATGGTCAAGGACCTTCTCCTCTCACCACACAGTCAGTGTTTAGGCCTGGAGCTTGACTGCTCAGGATTGAACGCTGCCTCTTGGGTTTAAGGGGAGGTCACATACTCCCCCATACTGGAAGTGCCTGGTATTCCCAAAGGCTCCGACAGATGAAGGAAGCAGCAGGGGAGTGCAGGAAAGGTAAGGATCCGTGGGTGAGGGGGGTGGCCTGTCGAAAACAAAACTGCTAGCTTTCTGCACTACTTCAAGTTGATGAAAGCCAATGATCATCTTTTTACATAGTTGTTTTTCATCCCCAAAATGGACCTGAAGGGTGCACAATGCTGGCTTGAAAGCTTTGCAAGTACTTTGTGAACTCTTGCGGCACAGACTTCTCTTGGCATTTACAAGCTTGAATACCATGTGAGCAAAGCCTGCCAGTCAGCCTGGTGCTAGGCCAGAACCTTGAAAGCTTTGCAAGTACTTTGTGAACACTTGTGGCACAGACTTCGCTTGGCATTTACAAGCTTGAATACCATGTGAGCAAAGCCTGCCAGTCAGCCTGGTGCTAGGCCAGAACCTTGAAAGCTTTGCAAGTACTTTGTGAACACTTGTGGCACAGACTTCGCTTGGCATTTACAAGCTTGAATACCATGTGAGCAAAGCCTGCCAGTCAGCCTGGTGCTAGGCCAGAACCATCTCCACCAGTGAGAATCTTCCTGTTGAGCTCAGGTGACACCAAATCCTTAAACCCGTTTCCATTCCTAAATGCTCCTATCAATTAGGTGATGAATGCACAGATTATGGTTGATACTAGAGGGAGGATTTTTAGCAATAAAGGTGAAGTGATCAGACATAGATACTCAGGAACCCCAACTTTCAATTGCTGCTTTCAGATAGAAGTGGTTGTACACAGACCGTGCTGGTGATTGTACATTTTAACTTTTGAATGATTGGAATGCTCTGTGCGATTTATTCTTCCCTTCCTTGTACATGGTCATATGGATGCCACGGAAGCATTGCAGCTATTCCACCATTCTGATTTTTACCTGTCAAATGAACAATAAAAAGGATGTAATAAGGATAACTGCTTGTGTGTTTCTTGATTGGAATTTGGGTTGGTCAATCTTTTATTGAGAAGACGGGTATAGTGGATTTTTCTATATCTTTACAAGTTTGCATGCATGAATGAATACCTGGAATATCACAAAATACAGCGACAGTCGCTTGTTAGAAATTCTCCACCTTTTTATCATAAAAAAAACCTCCAGGAATTGTTTTTATTAACCCTTGCAGTGTGGCTACCCCAGCACTGCAAGGGTTTAGTGCTTGTTTACATCTAGGGACAAAAATTACAAAGATATAGTTACCCGAAGCTCCGAGCAGGCAAGCTGTCAAAACGCTCCCTCCAGCCTGTCTTAGACCACTGCAGAAGAGGTGGAGAGAGGCTCTAGAGCAGGGGTCTCATACCTCCGGCCCTCCAGCTGTGGTGGAACTACAAATCCCATGAGGCATTGCAAGATTCTCACAGCCACAGACATGACTCCCGAAGAGAGATGCATCATGGGATTTGTAGTTTCATCACAGCTGGAGGGCCGGAGGTTTGAGACCCCTGCTCTAGAGACTGGTCTGAGAACAAAACAGCACAGCGATCGGGCGAGTAAATTTCATCAGCCCCCACTCTCCACACATTTTTAAGCATAGCCAAGAATTGCCCAGGCACCAGGAATTGCATTATTGAATGATCTCTGAGCTGGCATTTCAGTCCAGGAAGTAGATGGTAAGCCTGGGTGATGCCTAAGCAAACATGGCTCGTGCTGGAAACAAAAGCAGGTGAAGGCATTGTTGGGGGAAGTATCTGTACTTCTGTGAGAGGTAATAAAAACCTGGTAGTGTTGGCTGTACTTTGCATGCTGCATTTAAAATGTGTCTGATGCCAGGTCCACCTTTAAAGATAATCAGCACAAGAGTTGGACATTTTATTAATATATTATACACACTTGACATTTATGACCACGCACACTGGACATTATAATGCAAACAAGCTTTATGGACTTCTTTCTCTCTCTCTCTCTGCTCAGTATGTAAAGGGGGCACTTGGCACCACTGACTCCCACTGAGCTTATAGCATGATGGGTACAAACCCCAAACTACAAGAGTGGATAATGTGCTTAATGGTGGTTCCCTCCTGCACTGTACATTGTGTTACATTAAAACTCTGTACAGTTCTGCCATAAGGTAACCCTGTCAGGGGAAAAAATATGTCATATAACAGTTCCCTGCAAGAGACGATGTAACACACTCAACTTGCCGTAGGCTCTTTTCTCCTACCTTTCCTCTTTTCCATCACTGCAGCCTCCGCCATTTTCCTTAGTGTTCAACACTACCAGGATTGTCAGATGCCTGTGGTTCTGTCCTTTGATCCCTATGTTATTGCAGTTTCCTGTAATGATGTAGGGGAAGAGGGAGCAATCAGCGAACAGTGGGAGTCACAGTCATCTGACACTCCTGAAAGTGTTGAATTCTGAAGACACTGATGGAGACTGCAGCACTGGTATGGAGGGAAGGTAGGACACAGGATTGGTGGCATAGGTGAGTACTCTACTGCCTTTACAAGGCACACATTTTTGAATATTTTTTTGCTTGACAATGACCGTGACAGGGTCTCTTTAAAGGAAACCTGTGCTTTGCCCATGCTCTCTTTAATTTGGCCCTTTTACAGCATTTAGCCTTCCTTCTCCCCACCACTCTGTTCAGCTGCTGGTAGCCAGGAAAATACCCAGTACTTCTGGGTGTATAGGAGAGCATGTACCTCACGCCATGGGATTGTGGGGACAAAGCCCTGAGTTATCTTCATCTGGAGTGAGCTAAAGTTTACACAGACCTTCTTGTGCTCAGCATTTGAACAAAACTGCAGAGGAGCAAAAGAAAGATAAGCATTACTTTGCCCTCCGTGTCTACTATATACATTATAAAGACTCATTGCACACGTGTGCTGACAAATGGTCCACAGTGCATCTCAACTTATAAAGGCGTACACCTGTATGTCCATGTGAGTTGAGATGCGTTGGGCAGCTCTATGGGCTCTTACACTTTGATGTTTACGTCTCCTGCCTGGTGCAGGCGCAGAATGATCTCGGCCTTCAGCCATTGTGAATTTCTGTAGGTCGAGAACATTCTCAACCAGCATCTCCCTAAAATGAATGACACATTCACAATGTGTAGAGAAGGGCGGCCCAATCGCTAAATGACGGCAGCCCAAATTGCCACATCCATTTACATGTTACACATGTCAACTTTATATCGCTTCTCTGCCTTTTGGCTAAGATCAAGTGTAGTATCTGTTCTTATCAGTTGCCGGTGGAAGAACGACACCACTCCTTGTCGAGGTGATTAGGATGGTGGCTTAGTATTTACCGGCGTAATTGGTGGGTGTCAGATGGGGTACAGTCCCTCCTGGTTAGATTCTGGCCCAGTGATGCTGGGCTTGTCACCGATGGTAGGGATGGACCCCTGACGGCACTACCTTCTGATGGGAATGGATACGAAGCTTGGTCGAGGCTGGAGGGTTGGGAGGCGGTAGAGCCCATGGTGTTGTGCCCCCTGGGGGTGGCGTCCCAAGGGTGCTCAGAAAGTCACTTGGGTGTGGGAACCCACATGACTCACTGTACACTTGGTCACACACCACCTTGCAATTTCTGCACAATGCCTCTTGGACAGGCCTTATGGCTAGTCTGGGGCAATTTTTTAGCACCCGGCCCCTAGGGCCTGTCAGCGTGGTGCACTGGCACTATTCCTTTATTTATTGCACCTCATGCACGATTGGCACATTTTTGTGTTTTTGTAAATTTTACATTTTGACCCACAGAGTGCTAGGGTGCAGGTACCTTCGGGGCCTATTCCCGATGCAGGGGAGGAGGTTCTGTGCCCTCATATAGGGTTCTCTGCCTCCTCCCGAACCAGGGCGTCTCTCTTCGGGAGAGCCCCCTACCTAGTACTTGGTGGGACCTGTTTCGGCAGGTCCCCGAAGGATCGGGGGCCGCCAGCCTCCGGGTTGGTGGACCAAAGTATCTCAACCCCTGTCAGAGCCTTGCGCCTCTGAGGGTCGGGAATTCAAGGTCCCTTCTTTATTGAAGGACCAAGCACCCTTGTGCACGTTTTTGTGTGCTGTGATTTCACGGTTCACTTTTTTTGTGCACAGGGGGAAGTTTGTTTTATGATGCACGTCCACGGGCTCTTAAAAAAACCCAAAACATGTCAACTTACCTGTACTGCATTAAATACGATGGACGTAAACATTTATGCAGCTCAAAGCTACGGGGCGCTACTGACCAAAATGCAGCTTTGTGAATGGGCCTATAAGATACATTACGGCTGTGCCCAGAACCATATAGAACTGTTCTTACATTTATGACCACAATGTTTTATACACCCGTGTCCATGAGCCCAACAATGTTATCAAACGTCATCACAGGTCATTGCTGCTTCCATAGCTGTAGATGTTGAGAATGACCCTGAAGATAAATCTACCTTGCTGCGGAAGCCATATTCAGTGCACCAAGCTGTGGTAGGGTTTTGGGCATCATTTATACAAAGGAAATTTAAAGTGAAACTCCAGCCAAAAGGTTTTTTCCCCTATTTTAGATAGAGTGTGGAAGGAATGTAAGCATATATATATTATTGTTCTAATAATAATCATATATTTATTTATATTTCTATATCAGTGTATCAGAGGCCCAGATAGACTGGCACAGTATGCGTTTCCTCAGAATCCATTTTGCTAGAGACAAGTAGCATTGAATTAGCATTGAGTCTACAACAAAATGGCTCCTGCTGGTAGGACACATCTAGCACCAGGACGTTCTGCATAGCATAGTGACGTCTTAAGTAGGCGGCAGTGGTCGCTGCCTGGTGACTTTTTGCAGGCGGCGCAGAGCTCCGGTTCTACGGCGAAGAGGTGACGGCGGAGTGGGAGGTTTCTGTGTGCTCCGTGACTGTGTGACACGAGTGGGGGGTAACGTGTGTAGCGGGGGAGGGCCTGAATCACTGTGTGTATAGAGAAAACCCCAAAGGAGAGATTACACGGACATGGCTGTTTTCTCTTGCTGGAAATGCTGGCCGTCTGCGGCCTTTTCTGATTCAATGTCCTCAAACAATCAGTTCTGGACAAGTCTGGACTCCCGGCCTGCAGACTTGTTCCAGGGCACTCAAGGCATTGAATGGTCTAACATTTCTAGTGGGAGAGACACGGAAATGAAAATCGTTTATGTTGACTTGTTTCTGGAGCTGCAGGTTCCAGGGCTCCATTGTTCAGTACATTGAAGGATGACAGCCCCAATTCTCCAGATTATTGGCAGCCATTGTGTATGTGTTGTTTTTTTACAGCATTTTTATATAACCAACAGTTTGTGCAGAGCTTTACAGAATATAGACCATAAATGTCCAATATAAGACTGGAGGGTCATGCTCATGGGGTTCCCATACAAGACCAGAGGGTTAGGAGGGATCTGCTCATGGGGTTCCCATACAAGACCAGAGGGTTAGGAGGGATCTGCTTGTGGGGTTCCCATACAAGACCAGAGGGTTCGGAGGGATCTGCTCTTGGGGTTCCCATACATGACCAGAGGGTTAGGAGGGATCTGCTCGAGAGGTTCCCATACAAGACCAGAGGGTTAGGAGGGCTCTGCTCGAGGGGTTCCCATACAAGAACCCCATGAGCAGAGCCCTCCTAACCCTCTGGTCTTGTATGGGAACCCCACGAACAGATCCCTCCTAATCCTCTGGTCTTGTATGGGAACCCCATGAGCAGAACCCTTGTGTCTTTTATTGGACATTTATGGTCTGTATTATGTAAAGCGCTGCACAAACTGTTGGTTATATAGCTGCGTGGCCGAGCGGCAGAGTATCGGTACATATCAGTGATATGTACCAATCCTCTGTGCAGGACAAACACCAGCTGATCACTCCAGTGTTAGTAAATAACTGGGTACACATAGTACTATGTGTCCCTAGTTATAAATGAACAGGATGTGATTTACATCACTTCCTGTTCATTCATGAGATTCTCAATGGGGAGTAGCACTCTGTACAGAGGCTCCTCCCCATTCAGAAACTGCTTGATTATTTTCTGTAAATATTTTCTGAATAAATGGCGAAGCCTCTGTGCTTTCCATTCATTTAGAACAGGGGCTGCAGAAAAAGAGAGAACTTTGTGTCCCCAATTTCTTTTTCTATTTTAAAAGGGAACTATAAGGGGGCTGTTTAGACCCCTAATATTTCCCCAAAGCCCCCAACAGTAAAAAAAAATTAATAATTTAAAATGAAATAAATAATAAAAAATAGTAAAAAAAGAAATCCTGGAGGCGGGGTGCTGGGTGATGTCACAAGCCTGTTGGGGGCACGTTTTTTTTTTTCTTGCTAGCTACTGCTATTTTCCTACGCAGGCACTAATGTGCCTGCGTTCCTGTTGCGGGCGATCGCACTGCGGATGAGGGGCGTGGCTGCGGGGCCATTGACCCCCCGAATGCAGGTGTTTTTTCGTTGGTAGATCTCATTGAGCTTGTCATTTGAAAAGTAGATCTCCGAACAAAAAATTGTAGACGCCCATTGTCTACGTTATGCTCCACATACTGTTCTGCATTCGTGTTCCTATGAACCCCTTCAATGCTTTGTATAAGGTAACACCAAAATACAAATTTTCTCCCAGGGTACAAGTCTTAACATCCATGAAACGCACTATAGCGAAAGCGTGGCTGGCCAATATACTTACATTGGCGGAGGTCAAGGCTGGACCTTCTCAAAGAGCAGCCAGGCTCATAGACACAATGTCTACATTCCAGATTTGTGTCCCATGGCTCGCCCACTTCCTGCCAGCATATTCTGATTGTTGTCTACTAGATCTCTGAGTTGGTGGTCCTTGGCTCACCGGTAAAGCGCCGAAGTGCCCCTATCGCCTTTATACCCCTTAACTTACCCTTTCCTCATTCCTTTCAATATCTCACCATCTTTCAGATGTTCGGTTCCTCAACATTGACCGAGCTCTCCTCCTCAGACCTTTCACTAAAGCACTTTGCAATACCACAGCACTGGCTTCAATACATGAATTTTGGGGGGTAGAATTGAGTTCAGGAGCCAGTCTGACCAATCCCAGAGCTTTTTTAGGCGACACCGAGAGGAAACCTGAAAAGTTGGACATCGGCTCTAAATTTCAAGGAGCATTGGAGACCTGGTTCCTGGGATCCAGCCCATGTACTATGCAAACATGTGGAACCACATAGGACCTAGAGGTCAGAGATGCAGAGGTTTGATATGACCAAAATGATTTTTCGGTGCAGCAAAGAAAAGATCGGATTGGCTTTCCAGTCATTTCCTTTTCATATAAAAATGATTTCTTATTGGTGGAGCCGCCTGCTTAGAGCAATCAGTCTCTGATGGATACCTTGTATGACGTGAAGTTATTATTTCTATGGCCAGCATATTGTCTATGTACCCTGAATCTTCCAGATAACTCTATGTTGTAGAAAGACAGGAAAACATTCACCGTACCTGTCCATGCCAGTAACCCCCTTTATATGTAACGTCATTGGAAGAGGCAAGACTCTCTGGGTCAGCTTAGCAGTTCTGTAAAAGTTCTCATAGAGCGCCATAGACTCACAGCATGACATTCCATACCATCATAGAGATATTCTGGGGCTTGTGGTTCCACCATAGCTGAAGAGTGTGCCTGGACCTGTAGGGCAATGGTAGAGGATGATGGGTAATTGTCATGCCTGGTTATCTGAAGGTCATAAGGTATCTCCGATTTCCACAGGAACAAGGGTGCAGACGAGGCTTGTAGTTACGTCAGGCATTCTGGGTAACTTGGTAAGACATCGTTTAGGATGACATTTGGTTTCCTCTTTTGCAGGATGTCGATGAACTGGAATAAAGGTGGTCCCACTGGGAAGCGCGGCTTTGGATTCGGGGGCTTCGCTATCTCTACGGGGAAGAAGGAGGAGCCGAAACTTCCGCAAACCTCTCACAGCTCTTTCGGCAGTGCAACTCCTGGCTTCGGAGCCGGCAATAGTTCCCAGCTGCCCTCCTTCTACAAGATTGGATCCAAGAGGGCCAACTTTGATGAAGAGAATGCGTAAGGGACAGGACCGGGGTTGATGGGACGGAGGGACAGGACCGGGGTTGATGGGATGGAGGGACAGGACCGGGGTTGATGGGACGGAGGGACAGGACCGGAGTTGATGGGACGGAGGGACAGGACCGGGGTTGATGGGACGGAGGGACGGGACCGGGGTTGATGGGACGGAGGGACGGGACCGGGGTTGATGGGACGGAGGGACGGGACCGGGGTTGATGGGACGGAGGGACGGGACCGGGGTTGATGGGATGGAGGGACGATTATAATGCAACTCTAGTTAAGGTTTTTTTTTCTTTTTGCTGCTGCCTTTGTCCCTGTCAGTGAGATTTCACAGCACTTCCTGTCCTTAAAGATACAACAGGAAGTGTTCACCAGAACAGCATTTCCCCTTTCCAGCTTTCAAATGTTGGATTTCCCATCACTCTCTATCCTGGGAATCATGGGAAATCTTACTAATGTGGACAAAGATGGAAGAAAGTTTTGCCTGAAGTTCTACTCTATGAACCAATCATATATATTTTGAAGAGTACAGAGTAGCTGGTGTCCTGTATACTCAGTCAAAGGCCATGTCTTTTTGTGGACTTCTATGCTTTCTGAGTCTCTGACCCACAACTAGCCTGCAGAGCAGGGGTCCAACGTCACTGGCCGCATGCTTATTCTGGGTCATTGACATCTAAAGTCTTGAGACCAGAGACAGCCAATTCTCTGGTCCCATGACCGTTGTGTCGCTGAATGAGCTAATAAAACATCATCTCCAGTTGATCTTTCTGTGATCTGTGACCTCTCTACCTGCAGATACTTTGACGATGAAGAGGAGGATTCCTCAAATATGGACCTGCCATACATTCCAGCAGAGAACTCCCCAACCAGGCAGCAGATGTTAGCGAAGCCGGCGGCTGATTCTGACAGTGAGGAGGACCCGCTTGAGGCCTTTATGGCCGAAGTCGAGGTGAGCTGGTTTTCTATGGGCACTTCTAGCTCTTAGGCTCTGTTCAGACTTGTGCTATTTCTAGCGGTACATTACAGCTAGCACACAGAGACTTCACTTCATGTCGTCTGTTCGTATAAGTGTCGTCTACAATTAGGGATGTCCCGATACCGATACCAGGCATTTTTATGAGTACTTGAAAATGACCCCATTCTTAAGGCCGATGCCGGCCCTTTACATTTTTGTCGGGTCCTCAGCAGCCTGCTGGGGACCCATCAGTAGCTGTCCCTGGCAGTGCCTGTCCGGGTCTATACCTCCTGCTCCTCCTTCCCGGCACAGCCATGGACAGCCCTACACAGAGCACAGTACAGCCCCGGACACCGGCCCCCATCCGATCAACTCACAGCCCCTCAGAGATCCACATGCTGCCCAGGTGAGATCGCAGCCTTCTGCTCTGTTTGGATGTATTGGGCTGCTGTGGGGGGGGCATCATGTATTGGGCTGCTGTGGGGGGGGGATCATGTATTGGGCT